CTTTTTCCTTTTTGAATGTTTTGGCTTATGAAGGGTTAATATTAATATATGAGACGAATGTACATGGCAAATTGTAATATCGGGATTTTTATAGATGATGAAGAAAACGCGTAACCCTCTATGGAATGAAGAGTTCCAATTCTTGCTTGAAGAACCTCCATTACAAGAGAAGATTCATATAAAGGTTATGAGCAAAAGAACAAGCATTAGCTTATATTCAAAGGTGCGATCGATGCATGTGCCATTTTTTCGTATGCTTTCCTATTTCGAAATATTTTTTTTTTCTACTATAATTTTTCTTGATCGGTATAGGAATCCTTGGGATATGTTGATATCAATCTTGCTGATGTCGTCAACAACGGACGTTTAAACCAGAAATACCATTTGATAGAATCTAAGAATGGAGTTATACATGTCGAACTACGTTGGAAAACCATATGAATCGAGCTCGTTCAAAGGCATTGATAACTGGGAGTTGGTGAAAGTTTAACTTTTGTTGTTAGAGTCGGGGGAGCTTGTGTATAATGGCATGTGAAACTAAGGATGATGACTACATATAGTTTGTGTTGTGATGTGTTTTCGGAGGGTAGAATAGTCATTCTTTAAGAAATAAATCAGCTAATTAGTTTTAATAGCATAGTCAAACCACTTTAAAACCTTTTAAACAATTGTTGCTATTTTAACTAAATTAACTGACCATATCCCTCAAAATTAAAAATTACATTATCCCATTTTATTCAATCAGATTCATATATACCTAAATAATTTATATATATTTTATTTTTAGTAATGATCAAAATTTCGAAATTGTGATATATCCATTATCTAATTAATAATTTTAATATTGTATTCACACATATAATTTATAATACTTTATTTACATTTATGCCAACATATTATATTCCTTTTGATAAGATTTGGTTTGACTTTATATTATTCTTGATGATGATCCATGCACATGTGACATCATGACTAAAGGAAAATACTAGTAAATGGGCACTACATTTGGGTCCTTTGACACCTTGTATCAATTATTATTAGAGAAAGTATCAATAGAAAGGTGGCTTAAAAAATTGCCACACACTTTTGCATTCTCTTTTGCATTACAATCATCATCTAAATTCTCCACTACACTAAAGAAAATTATTGATGCTCCGAATAATCATGATTAAACTCAACACAAATCCTAAATATTTTTTTTCGTACAATGAAGGAGGTCAGAGGTCTAGAAGGATCACTGAGCTAGAACACGATGGGGATACGACACCCCAATAATGTCGTGTTCGAGCCAAGTACTCATTCCTAACGGAGGCGAGAACAACCTCTGCAAACCAATCGGGGAAGAAGCCGTCATGTTCGCTAAGTGGTCAGCTGCAAAATTAGCTTATATGTGTATATGCTGGAGACGCACACACGCTCGTTGCACAAATCCTAAATATTAGTTATCTTTCTTATTACATATTAATTAAACTACAAAGGACACAAAATTTAATATGTATGAATTGTGTGGACATGAACAAAGATGCTCAAAGGTTGCTAGTTTGTGGAAAACCCAGTCGATATTGATGTTACCTAAGTGATTGTAGTCAAAACTATTGCATTAGTTTAATGAATTCATCTAGGAAAATGAGAGGACCATTAATTGTCTATGTGACATGTTTTTGTATGCAGGCAAAAGAACAACCCAAGCCCACGATTTTATAAAATATCTCTTGCTAGTGGGATGACATTGCTGTTAAATTAAAAGAGTTTGGCTCAGCTCGACTCGAGTTCAGCTCGTTAAGGCTCGAGTTCGGCTCGAACTCGAACTTATTTAAAACTCGTTTGGTTAACGAGCTCGACTCGGTAAGGCTCGTTAAAGCTCAAAAATAGTATTTTTATATAACTTTTTATAGTTCCGCTCGTTAAAGCTCAAAATCGGCTCGTTAAAATTCAAACCCTGCTCATTAAAAGTGATAAACAAGCCGAACTCAAGCTCGATTTCAACTCATTTACGAGCTCGATTCGTTAAGGACTCAAACTCGATCTCGAGCACCATAAGCTCAAGACTCATTGAAAGGCCTAGATGGAACCATATGCAAGCACAATATATTCAAAATTCTTGGGGGCTGAGGATTTTGAAATATGAAAAAGAGGAATAAACAAAAAGTAAAGGGGTTAAAGAAAAGTTTAAGCTTTCTAGTTGACTTAACCCGTAAAGCCTGGCAAATTTAGAGGGATAGTAAAAAGGGAATCCTATACCTTTATATTAAAAAGGGATTAAGATAGAGGATTCACTATTTTAAATGGATTTGTACATGTCAAAGTATTTGTGTGCATTTTTATATTGCATCATTGGGTTTTATTCTTCCTTATTGTTTATATACATCATTTTTCTTGCCTGTTTTTTTTTTTTTTTTTT